AAGACAGCCACTAGAGGTGGGATTAACCCTGCAATGTAAACATAGCAGTTTCTCAGAAACTGCTATGTTTACATCTGAAGGGTTAAAACCTGGCACCCAGACCACTTTATTGAGCTGTAGTGGTCTGGGTGACTATAGTGTCCCTTTAAGAACAAATGCAAAACTGGTCAAATTTTGATCCCAATCGGTGGACATGGCGTAAACAGAGATGGGGCAGGTGGTCAATTAATCGGTAAACAAAAATAAGAGAAAAAGTAGCCCGATAAGCGTAGAGAGATCGTCACATCTACCCAATCAACAACTAGTAGCACCTAGAAGGAATGAGAAAAGAACATTTATCCCCAAGCAAGTGTATCCAGTCAAACCTGCTATAAGTGAAATGGTAGTTAAAATCACATTAAAGGAAAACTGTCATAATTTTTATCATTTAACAAGTTAAATATTACATGCATACATATCGGTAAATAATATATGTAAATACATCTTTTCAGTACATATTTTGGCTAATGTTTGCTCTATATGGATGGCTCTTCCAGATCTTTTAAATGTAAGCTCTCCAGAATTTATTAAAGACCATGGTGCTTTGGTAATTTGTGCTTCAGACCAAGAAAATTAAAACATATCATTAAATTGCATCATATGTGTCTAATATATAGGATATTATATTTTCAAATAGCTGTAATGAAACACAAAAAAATATGAATTTCAATCGTATTTTATATTTTCATTTTAAATTTAAACATATCCCGGGTTATTTACTAAATTGAGAATTGTCAGAAATGCAAAGTGAATTGAAAGTGAATTTCAAATTTAGGCAAAAGTAGGAAAAATGGAAATATAGCTGACTTCATGTCAATTCTGACTTTAATGAGTAACCCTTATAGATACATCTTTATTTATTTTATCGATATGCATATAAGCTACATACCAGTCTATGTTGTCCTTTGGCATTCCATGGCCTCCAAGTCCACAATAGCATCCATAGCCAATGTAAATGAGAGAACTTCGGCCAGCTTCACATTTAATAGCTCCATCCAGTTCAAAGAGCCCTCTTCTCTGTAATACATGAGTTGTGCCTAATGCTCCTTTGAAAACTGTAACTTAAAACAGCAGATAATTTCTACACAGTTTTGTCTAATGGCACATGTGAAATCATATAAGAAATTAAACTAAATGTTAAAATGTAAACATCAAATTAAATCAGAAATAATGAAACTATTTCCATCCAAAATATTAATACATAGGTTTCGATGCTAAGAGCACCGAACCAGCTTTAGCTCAATGATGTGGTTTTGGTGTATAGATCCGATGCAGTCTCAATACTGAAGTCTCTGCCATGTAGAGGTTAACCCCTGGAGAACAAAGGCAACTGATCAACTTCTGGACCAAAATAAAACCTAGAACGTGTGCTATGCGTTTATTCCATAATTTAAAAGGTTCTTTTAAAATATAATGCATATTTTATATGGGTGCACCTAAAGGACAGAAATGGCTTTCTACCCTAACCCTAAACCAACTCTACCCTTAACACTATGCTTACACTAATTATAACCATACACAACCCTAACCTTAACCCTACACTACCCTAACCCTTAACCAACTCTACCCCTAACACTATGCTTACACTAACTATAACCATACACAACCCTAACCTTAACCCTACACTACCCTAACCCTTAACCAACTCTACCCTTAACACTATGCTTACACTAGCTATAAAATACACAACCCTTACTTTAACCCTACACTACCCTAACCCTAAATCAACTCTACCCCTAACACTATGCTTACACTAATTATAACCATACACAACCCTAACCCTACACTACCCTAACCCTTAACACTATGCTTACACTAATTATAACCATACACAACCCTAACCTTTACCCTATACTACCCTAACCCTAAACCAACTCTACCTCTAACACTATGCTTATACTAAATATGTCCATACACAACCCTAACCTTAACCTTAAAGCAACTTTACCCCTAACACTTATACGACTATAACCATACACAACCCTAACCTTAACCCTACACTACCCTAAACCAACTCTACCCCTAACACTTACACAACTATAACCATACACAACCCTAACCTTAATCCTACACTATCCTAACACTAAAACAACTCTACCCCTAACACTATGCTTACACTAACTATAACCATACACAACTCTAACCTTAACCCTACACTACCCTAACCCTAAACCAACTCTACCCTTAACACTATGCTTACACTAGCTATAAAATACACAACCCTAACTTTAACCCTACACTACCCTAACCCTAAACCAACTCTACCCCTAACACTATGCTTACACTAACTATAACCATACACAACCCTCACCTTAACCCTACACTACCCTAACCCAAAACCAACTCTACCCCTAACACTTACACAACTATAACCATACACAACCCTAACCTTAACCCTACACTACCCTAAACCAACTCTACCCCTAACACTTACACAACTATAACCATACACAACCCTAACCTTAACCCTACACTACCCTAACCCTAAACCAACTCTACCCTTAACACTATGCTTACACTAGCTATAAAATACACAACCCTAATTTTAACCCTACACTACCCTAACCCTAAACCAACTCTACCCCTAACACTATGCTTACACTAATTACAACCATACACAACCCTAACCTTAACCCTACACTACCCTAACCCCAAACCAACTCTACCCCTAACACTTACACAACTATAACCATACACAACCCTAACCTTTACCCCACACTACCCTAACCCTAAACCAACTCTACCCCTAACACTTACACAACTATAACCATACACAACTCTAACCTTAACCCTACACTACCCTAACCCTAAGCCAACTCTACCCCTAACACTATGCTTACACTAACTATAACCATACACAACCCTAACCTTAACCCTACACTACCCTAAGCCTAAACCAACTCTACCCCTAACACTATGCCTAAACTAACTATAACCATACACAACCCTAACCTTAACCCTACACTACCCTAACACTAAAGCAGAATCAGCTCTAACCCAGCATTAACATATACCATACACTAACATCAACTCTACACATAGGCGTGCGCCTGGGCACACCCTAATGCCCGCGGCATGCCTATGTATTGAGACCGGCAGGGGAGATCTCAGGATCTCCCCTGTCGGCTCATGCAGAGCCCGCGCTATCCGAGCACCAGTTCTGCTCTCAGCCTCCCTCCCCACCGACCCACAGGCAGGGAGGGAGGCAGGAGAGGACCCGGGGAGCTATTGCCTGCGCATATTGACTCTAAACGATTAGCTGTGATAATGCCACTGTCCCCAAGAAGATTACAACGCTTTACATAAAACACACATACACCACATCACATAGACCAAAAATGGCCTTATGGGAAATAATCCCAGTCTGGCCCGACATGACCTGAGTCCTGGGAGGTTGCCTCTCACCTCGCCCCCCAGGAACCAGTTCTGTCTTTGTAATATGGTAACATTAATTACCATATCTCGGTATTTGTGTCAAAATATTGACATTTGGTGGGACAATATAGCTGTTAAGAATGACCATGATCCTTTTATTTTACCAACACCCTTCCCCTCCAAGGGGGGGGAAGAAGAAAAATAAAAAATTAAAATATCCTTATATAACCTTAAATGGCTCACTTAGTTATATATATATATATATCATCTCAAGTGCTGCACACCATCTGTAAAACTGAGTGTATATTTTCTTATAAACATTCTATGTTACCATTTCTTATGAATATGTCAGTGAGAATTAATTGTTGCTTACATGTTTATTTTTATTACCTATTGTACTTCCCCCAAATTGCTTCACTCTGTGAACGTGTGTATTAACACTTTTTAAATTTTATTTAATCATTCTACACCCCTTATACTTGACCTACTAAATTTAGTTCCTTCTTCACCTAAAAAATTAAAGGTTATTAAACCTCTCACCTCTTCTGTATGTTTATACTATTATTATCATCTTTATAATCGTGATTTACTATTTAAAAGTGACCACACTCTTGTCTCATATTTTAAATAAGCATTGCCCTTCTTATTTCTTTTGTGCTATCTTTCTCCTTCCTTATTCTTTTATGTGATATTTCTACTATATACATTTATTACAAGAATAATTTTTTTTTAAAGGACCACCATAGTGCTAGGAAAACATACTCGTTTTCCTGGCACTATAGTACCCTGAGGGTGCCCCCACCCTCAGGGACCCCCTCCCGCTGGGCTCTGGGGAGAGGAAAGGGGTTAAACTTACCTTTTCTCCAGCACTGGGCGGGGAGCTCTCCTCCTCCTCTCCGCCTTTGATCCTCCTCTTCGGCTGAATTTACAATGCATTCCTATGGACGCTGGCATCTTCTCACGGTGATTTTCACAGTGAGAAGCACGCAAGCGCCTATAGCGGCTGTCAATGAGACATCCACTAGAGGATTTGGAGGAAGGATTAACCTATATATAAACATAGCAGTTTCTGTGAAACTGCTATGTTTAGAAAAAAAAGGGTTAATCCTAGAGGGACCTGGCACCCAGACCACTTCATTAAGCTGAAGTGGTCTGGGTGCCTAGAGTGGTCCTTTAATTATCACTGTAATGTTTTCCTTGTAATTCTATTGGTCATCTTAAAGATTTCCTATTTACCAACGGTTATTTCTTGAAAAAAAACAAACAAACAAAACTGTCCTCTTCCGTCCACCCTCCTTCAAAACATCTTCTGTCTACTATTGTTACGCTGCTCCAAATATTTGTTTTTCTTCCATCCACTTTCTCAGGGAGTCCGAAGTTATAAATTTTTCCGTCTTTTCTTGCCAAAAGATCCTAAGGCGTTTGGGAAATCCCATATGTATTTCACTTCTCTTGCTCTTAAAGTAGACAACTCCTGGCTAAAACCTTTCCGCCATGATCTTGTGTAAAATTATAGATCTGGGAATATCTTTAAGTCCTTGAACCTCTCTTCCAGTACCGGTTTATTTTTTAATGACCCCATTATTTTATTTTTGAAATTTGACTATTACATCTCTTGGTGAGGATTCTGCTATATTTCGAGGTCTAGGGAGTCTGTGGAATCTTTCTAATTCAGAATCTTTTAGTCCAGTTTCAGCTAGTAACGACTCAAAATAATCCCTTAAAAACTTTTTCAGCGTTGAGTCATTAACTATTTCAGGGATATTACGGATTCTGATATTAGATCTCCTGGAGCGATCTTCCAAATCGTTTAGTTTGCCCTCTAATTGTTCCACTTTGAGCTGCAAGTCTGTCATAGTTGTCTGTACTTGATCATATTTTAATTCAGTTTGCATCATCTTGGATTCTATAGATCCCAATTTTTCTTGCATACTTCTTAATTCCTGTTTTAAATCTGACGACCCTTTCTTAATATCTACTTTAATATTCTCCAGAAGTTTAATAATTTATTAGGATCTCTTCAGTTAAAGGTTTACCTTCTTGTTCGTCTTGAGGGGGATTAGAGTTAAATTTGGGAGGGGGTGAGGTATCCAGAGTTTCCAAAATCGCTTGAGATTTATTTTGAGAAGGGGAGAAATATCCTGACAATCTTTTCTCTGGAATGGGATCCTTTTTTTCCCCTCTTTCTCTTATCTTCCTGTGGTTTTTTTGTCTGCCATTCTGTAGATTTTTTTCTTTTTTCGTTGATGTCTATATCTCTCTTCCTTCAATTTTTCGGCTTATTAGATATAATTAAATACGTTTGAAAACCATTCAATATGGCAACTTGCAGCTATTTGCAATTTAATATCTTATTAACCCATTTATTCATAAATATGGGTTTTGTGATTGTATTTGCCAAAAATTTGACGAGATATAAATGCGTTCTATAAAATCCAGATTCTGTGTTTTATTTAGGCAATTGCGCTCTTTTAACCTTATCTGTTCCTTTTTATATTGTTTCTCTTTTTTTCCCCTTCCCTTTCCCCTTCTTTTCACTCCCCTCTCCTCCTTTATCCTTCCTTCCTTTTCTCTCCCTTTCTCTTTCCTTATTCCTCCCCCCTTCCTTCCTCCTCTTTTACAGTCAAAATTTAGGAAGTGCACTTATCTTTTGTTGTAGTTTGGTGTTATTGATGTTTCGTCACTCCTCTCTTTTCCTCCTCTCCGAGATCTCCAATTTCTCGTAATCCCCCTCAATTCCCATCCTCTAACATCCACTGACAGCCTGTAGTGTTTGGTCGCTAGTATTCCCCAGCCTGACAGGCATGGCTGTCGGCGTCTCCTCAAGCAGCATGGATCTTCACCGGCCACCCTTCCGCCATATCGCCCCTCCTCTCACGCAGACGTTCGAACACGCCTACGTCATGACGCAGCCCATTCTGCTTGCTTTCTTTATATACACCTGTTTCAAAATTTCACTCAGGCCTGTCATAAGCTACTTGGATAAGAGGCTGCTTTATTACTCTCATGTATTATACTGCTATCTCAAAAAACTTGTGGTTCATATGCGATTTCCATATTTGTATGCTGTGTCTTTGCTGAACTCTTTTCAAAACTATATGTTTTTTTTTTTTTTAAAGGTACACTACAGGCACGAAAGCAACTTTAGCTTAATAAAGCAGTTTTGGTGTATATGTCATGCCTCTGAAGTTTCATTGTTCAATTCTCTGCCATTTAGGAGTCAGATCACTTTTGTTTCTGTTTATGCAGCCCTAGCCGCACCTCCCCTGGCTGTGACTGACACAGCCTGCATGAAAGCAAAATAGTTTCATTTCAATCAGATGTAGCTTACTTTAACTTGGTTTTTATCTCCTGCTCTGTAAACTGATCTTTAATTACATATAGGAGGCTGCAGATATCATCTGATTCATATCAATCCCTTTTTATGTATACTAAAGAACCTCCTTTGTATATTTATGTTTTTCTATTTATCCCCTTTTCTGCCCACAAGCAATGTGGAGCCTTTTGGATATGGACACACCCCGCCCGACATCCGTTCGTCAGTGAAAATAAGTGGAGGAAATGCGGACCAGAGTGAAGGTGTGGGAGGAGGTATAAGAAATAGTCTCGTTCGAAAAGCAGAAGTGACGTGTTGCGAAAGGTGAGATGTCACTTCCAGGTATAAACCGGGCTGAGAATGGGCATAAAAGGGTCTTGGAGGCTTGTCCTAAGGATGGCTTCCTATTGGAGGATATGGAAGAAGTGGTGGATACCCCTAATGAAGTATAATCACTTACAATGGGACAGCCTCACTGACAGCCTCTAGAGGCGCTTCTGCGCTTCTCACTGTGAAAATCACAGTGAGAAGGCGCTGACGTCCATAGGAAAGCATTGAGAAATGCTTTCCTATGGACTGATTGAATGCCCGGCGCTGGAGAAAGGTAAAAGTTTAACCCCTTCAGCCCAGTGGGAGAGGGACCCTGAGGGTGGGGGAACGACCTAAAGAGTGGTCCTTTAATTACAACACACTAATTTTTTTTACTTTTTGGAGTAAATATTTTAGTTTGACCTTTTTACCTGCCTATATCCACTCTATTTAATTTAGAACATACCATTCAATAAAACAAAAAATATTTCAAACATTCATGCAGGAACAAAGACTGATTTCAACTTTGTAAATATTGCACCTGATTTCAAAAGAATTCAAAAAGCTTTGTGAATGGACCTAAACTTGGTCAAATCCATATGTGCCATGTAGCCGTTATCTCCATCCAACTTTAGAAGGTTAACTAGCACTACCATATAAACGATACATATAAGATGATATATATTATAATATAAGATTTGTGGTTGGTGCATTGCTGAACTGTGCTGCTCATCCACTATGTTATTGCAACTATAAAAAATTATATATTACGTTTAATTTATTATTAAGATATTAATATTGTTGTAGATAGACTTAATTGTAGGCAAGAAAATAAAAATATTTTATATAGATTACAGGATATTATAAACTGGTAATGTATTCCGTAACGTATGTTTACAGAGTCTATAGTTATTTTTATTATTTTATTCTTTATATACATTTATGTATATGTGTCAAACTTTTTAATGTGAAAGAGCACATACCATTTAATGTAACAATGAAAATATCTGCACAGTTTAGTGAGATTACTATTTGTAGAAATGACTTGTACATCTGAGTCTTTATTTTTTTGTAAACCAAAACCCTGCATACACTCAGTTAATGTATTATATGATACACATATAGCTAAATGCTATAACAATAAAAAGTGTTAAACGATGTTTGCAAAGTAATAGCAAAAAGTCTTTCTGAATCAAATGGATTTCTAGCCTACGTATAACTGAGCACATAGGTTAGAAAAATGTTGATTGTTATTGACGGATAATATAATTAGCACTGGTGCTACAAGTTTTGAACAAAAAATTAATAAACAGGTCTACTTTATTTTTTTTTAAAAAGTGGGTATATTTTTGCAGAGTCTTATTTTTATGCAATTCTAAATAGTCATATATTTATTTTTTCATTGTACATATAATAAACAGAAAATGTATTTATAGTTATTAATCTGGCAGAAATCTAATTTTAAATTCCAAAAATGGAATGTGCAGTAAATAGTACAAACACAGTGTCTAAGTTAATTTCCAGAAAATATCAAAAATTAAAAGTCATCTACATAATATGTAATATTTTAAAGTTTTCACTGCAATGTTCATTACTGATGTACGTTGTATTTACCTGTTATGTGCTATACGTGTCCATTTTCTGTCTACTTTAACCTTATAATTATATATTTTTCTAATTTCTAAAGATTGTTTAAGTCAATTTTACAGCATGTGTCCTGTTAACCTTTACCTGTATACCTCGAGGATACGTGTGCATATGTTCCGGTGTATCTTAAAATCATTTTGTAGGCACATTTTAAATAAAATAGTACACTAAAATAAAATATACTTTGGTATGTCATGCTTTACTTACATTTATAGAGCGATAGCAGAAAAAATATCTTGATCTCCATTGTGTAGTTTTTGGGAAAACCAATAGACTGCTGTTTTGTCAACAGTTTCCTCTTCTACTTGAACAGCGGAGTTCCCTTTTATTCAGTATATTTACAATCTCAACATTCCATCACATGTAGACTCAGTATGCAAGCAGTTACAGTGCTTTCCAGTGTATGTCACTGTCTACTGGTATTACTGGCAGTTGTCCCAGAAATCTCCAGAGTTTGAGTTTTGGGTGGAGACGGTTACATTTCCTCTAAGCGTATACACATAAGGTTTGTTTACTTTTCATAATTTTGATAAAAGTTGACTAAGCACATGTGAGCAGGTCAATGTATTACAGACATGGCATGACATGGCAAGAGAACTATAGCTCAAAAGCACAACTTAAAACGTTTAGTGGTGAGCACCATAGTAACTTTGCATAATTGCAATATTCATAGCACAAAGACTCCCCTGCACCAACTCACAGCTATGAGAATGGCTTATAACTGCAGAGATTGGTAGAGATTATTGCAGGTCTGATGAGTCTGTTGTTACATGGCACAGGGGCAGGGGGCAAAAACATTTACTGACCTTGAGGCTGGGGTGATGTTATTTCCTGGCTCCATCATCTCTCACATTGTCTGCATCCACGCCAATAGTGAGCTAGCAGGCAGGTGCCTTCTGTGTTGGGAGGGCACACCTCTAGAAACACAGAAACCTAGCAGGATAAAACTTACCAGGAAAGGTTAAAGGATCTTAACATGTATAGCTTGGAGGAAAGACGAGACGGGGGGGGAGGGGGGAAGGGGATATGATAGAAACCTTTAAATACATAAAGAGAATCAACACAGTAAAGGAGGAGACTATATTTAAAAGAAGAAAAACTACCACAACAAGAGGACATAGTCTTAAATTAGAGGGGCAAAGGTTTAAAAATAATATCAGGAAGTATTACCTTACTGAGAGGGTAGTGGATGCATGGAATAGACTTCCAGCTGAGTGGTAGAGGTTAACATAGTGAGGGAGTTTAAGCATGCGTGGGATAGGCATAAGGCTATCCTAGACTTAAGTTAAGGCCAGCGACTAATTAAAAGTATTTTGGAATATTGGGCAGACTAGATGGCCGAATGGTTCTTATCTGCCGTCACATTCTATGTTTCTATGTAAACCAACTCTGTGTGGGAGAAAGATAGCCTGTTTAGATTTTTTTTTTTATTGATTCTAATGTGAGATTGGTGGTACTTGTAGTACTACTCCTGTGCCATCCTAGCCCATAGTAGTACAAGTTCCACTTACTCCAATTTGACAGGGGGAGAAATAGTGTGTGTTTAATTAATCGATCCTGTTTATTTATTCTTGTGTCAAATTGGTGGTTATGTTACTGCTGTGCACACCAAGCCAGTAGGCGTTCCACTTACACCAAAACTGAGTGGGAGATAAATAGTCTGTGTTTAATGGATCCTATTTAATTGAAGATAGGGTGAGGTTGGTGGTTAGTTTTATCTGTGCACATCAAGCCAGTAGAGTTCCACTTACACCAACTTTGAGTGGTAGATAAATAGCCTATTTAATTGTTTAATTGATCCTAACATTAGACCATTCATTAGGTTACTTCTATGCCTATGTTTCTTTATGTCTGTGTCTGTATTTCTGTGAGTGCCTGTGTCTGTATGACAATGTACCTGTATGTGTAGATTGTATGACTGTGTTTGTTTGTGTGCCTTGTGCCTTTTATGACTGTGTGTCTGTATATCTTTGTGACTGTGTGCCTGAAAAATTATGTCTGTGTGCTTGTATGGTTGTATGTCTGTATGTTTGTGTATTTTTGCATGTATGTATTT